TGTCCCTGTCCCCATCCCAGTCCCTGTCCCATTCTTGTCCCATCTCTGTCCCATCCCTGTCCCCATCCTCATCCCTGTTCTCTCCCATTCCATCCCCATCCCTGTCCCCTCGCGGTGTCCCCTGTCCCGAGCCGAGCCGTGTGTCACTGTCCCCTCAGTCCTGCCCGCCAGTCCCCCGCTGGGCGCCTCGTCCGTCACTGTCACCTCTGGCCCGGGCACGGCCACCCCGCCCGGTGGCTTCTCCTTCTCCCCGGTGACGATGATCTCGGCCGTGAAGCAGAAAAGCGCCTTCGCCCCCGTGCTGCGGCCACAGGGCTCCCCCCCGCCCGCCTGCGCCAGCGCCCTGCAAGGTCAGACTGTCCCCAAGGCCACCAAGGTCGCTGTCACCCAGCCCCGGGTGGCTCCTGCCCCATGGAGGGTCCCCAGTGTCACCGCACTCCCAGTGTCCTGTACATGGGAATGGTTGGGGCTGCCCTGTGCCATCCTTGTCACTCTCTGCCGGTGTCCCCAGGGTCCCTGACATCTGTCCCCAGGTGGCTCCTGCCCCGTGGAGGGTCCCTTGCCCTGCAAGGTCAGACTGTCCCCAAGGCCACCAAGGTCGCTGACACTCAGCCCCCGGTGTATCGTGCTCCATGGAGGGTCCCCAGTGTCACAACACTCCTGATATCCTGTACATGGGAATGGTTGGGTCTGCCCTGTGCCACCCTTGTCACTCTCTCCAGGTGTCCCCAAGGTCTGTGACATGTCCCTGCCCCACAGAGGGACCTTGGTGTCACTGTAATCCTTGTCCCTGCCCCAGGATGCGGTTGGGGCTGCCTTGTGCCACTCTGAGGCCTGTCCCTTCTGTGTCCCCCGTGTCCCCAACCCCCACCCCGAGCCCCCCCTGCCCCACAGAGGGTCCCCAACGTCACCGCACTCCCTGCCTGACATCCCTGCCCGTGTGACGCTCGTACCCGGGGTTGTCCCGTGTCACCCTCGTCCCTGCCCCACTGTGTCCCCGGTGTCCCCTGGCTGATGCTGTCCCTGCCCTGCCCAGACCCAGCTTTCGAGGACTCGGACAAATTCCACGCTCCGGCGCGGCCGCTCCAGGGATTGGCCTATTCCTAAGGACGGCGTTTCCGGAGGGGCTCCGGACCCCCCATCCCACCGGGACAGGAGCGGGGACAAGGACTGGGGACATCCCTGTCCCCTGTGCCCACCCCTCAGAGCTGGGATGGCGCCAGGATGAGGGGACCCGGCCCCCCCCCCCACCCCGATGTCCCCACACCGGGTGACCCCAGCCTGGCCTGGCTGAGGGGGGACTTGGGGAAATCCTGGAATGAACCAAAATTCCTGGGTTTGGCCTTGGGAAGAGGCGGAGAGAGCCGGGAATGGGGGCGTGGGATGGAGGAGCCGGGATGGGCAGGAGGGGTGATCCAAGGTGGGAGGGATGATCCAGAAAAGGATGGATGATCCAGGGTGGGATGGATGCTCTGGAATAGGATGGATGATCCAAGGTGGGATGGATGTTTGAGGTGGGATGGATGCTCTGGAATAGATGATCCAAAGTGAGATGGATACTCCAGGGTGGGAGAGATGATCCAAGGTGGGATGGATGTTTTGGAATAGGATGGATGATCCAGAATAGGATGGATACTCCAGGATGGGAAGGATGATCCCAGGTGGGATGGATGATCCATGTGAGTTGAATGCTCTGGAAAATGATGGATGATCCAACATGGGATAGATGGTCCAGGTGGGATGGATGATCTGGATTAGGATGGATACTCCAGGATGGGAAGGATGATCTAAGGTGGGAGGGATGTTGCAAGGTGGGATGGAAGCTCAGGAATAGGAGGGATGATCCAAGGTGGGATGGATACTCCAGGATGGGAGGGGTGTTCTAGGTAGGATAGAAGCTCTGGAATATGAAGGATGAGCCGAAGTGGGATGGATGCTCTGGAATGGGATGGATACTCCAGGATGGGATGGATGATCCAAGGTGAGATGGATGCTCTGGGATGGGATGGCTGATCGAGAACAAGATGGATATTGAGGATTAGAGAGATGATCCAGGAAAAGATGGATGCTCCTGGGCAGGGGGGATGATTTGGAGTGGGATGGATGATGGATGGATGGATGATGGAGGATGGATGGATGATGATGGATGGATGATGGATGATGATGGATGGATGCTCCAAGGCAGGAGGGACAATCTGGGACAAGATGGGCGCTCCCAGGAGAGATGGACACTCCAAGGTGGGATGGATGTTCCGGGTGGGACGGACACCCCAGGACAGACGGACGCTCCGGTGGGACTCGGCTCCCCCCGACCTTTCCCAGCTCTCTCCCCACTCCACATCCGGAGCCTCGCCCACAATTCCAGAATCCCAGAATCCCGGATCTCTGCCTGTCCAGGATCAGGATCCTGGTGCCACCCGGGGCGTGGGTACACCGCGTTTCCTGTCCCCTGCCATTAATTATCGCCATTATTATCAATATTAATGATCAGAATTATTTTGACCACAGGGAGGGGGAAGGTCCCTGGGTGTCCCTGGATGTCCCTGGGTGTCCCTGTCCCCTCCCCCAGCCGGGAATTTTGTACATAAAACGGGAAGAATTCCCAACATTCCCCCTTTCCCCCCCCTCGGGGGTGGCTCGTGTCCCTCCCCTCCGCGTCTGTCCCCTCTCGGTGTCACCGCGTGTCCCCCCCACCCGGGCTGGGGGAGGTGACCCTTGGGGACAATGTCCCCTCCTCGCGGAGGTGGCGCAGGGCGTGGCCGGGGGCCCGAATGGGAATTAAAGACCTCGTGGAAAAAGCTGCGACTCCCGGGATTTGTCACCCCCGGGATGGTGACACCGGTGTCACCCCGATGTCCCCACCCCCCAGCCCCGGCTCATTCCCAACGCTGGAATCCCGGGAATGCTCCAGGCGCGACCCCCGCGAGCTGCCCCAGCCCAGTGTCCCCTCCCCGCCACCCCCCAGGCCACCCCCGGTCCCCTCCAGCTGCGATGTCACCTCCTGTCACCTCCCCCCGCCCCCGCGCGCCGGGATGAGCGCAGGAGGAGCTGGAATTAATTGCGTTAATCAAGAAAGGTTAATGAGGAGGTGGCGGTGCCAGCGCGGGGGGGGTGGGGGGTGGCACAGCTGGCACCGGCACGGGGATGGTGACACTGGTGACACGGGGCGGGGACACCGCGTGACCCCCGTGGGGACAGGCCATGCGTGGTGGGGACGGGGGTGACGCCGTGGGCAGCCTGGGGTGGTGGCACCGTGAGAATGTGGTGGCACAGGTGGAGGGGACACACTCAGGTGTTGGGGACACACGTGTGACACGGTGTAGGGACACTCACAAGTGTTGGGGGGACACACACAGGTGTTGGTGACACACAGGTGACAGGGACATGGCACAGGTGTTGGAGACAGTCACAAGTGTTGGGGACACACAGATGGCACATGCCAGGGGGACACTCCCAGGTGTTGGGGACGTGCACAGGTGACAGGGACACGTCTTGGGGACACACACATGGCACAGGTGTTGGGGACACACAGGTGGCACACGGGGACATGCATATGGCACATGCCATGGGGACAGTCACAGGGGTTGGGGACACGAACATGGCACAGGGCTTGGGGACATTCCCAGGGGTTGGGGACATTCCCAGGGGTTGGGGACAGGCACCGCTGGCCCTTCCCATTGCCGTGGGTGCCCTCGGCTTTGACGTCTCCAAAATCCCAAATTTCTCCCAAATCCCCCAGGTGCCAATCCCGACTCTCCCGGTTTTGGGGTCACGGCTGATCCCGGGATTTGGGGCTGGGAAAAACGGGAATGGGATAAACCCAAAAGGAAAAGTGGGAATGGGATAAACATGAAGAGGGAAAAATGGGAATGGGGTCAGATGAACCCAAAGAGAGAAAAGTGGGAATGAGGGGATGGGATGAGGAGGAGAAGAGGGAAAAGGGGGATCCCCGATCCCGGATCCCATCCCGGTTTGGGGCGGGATCTCCCGGAGCCGTTTCTGGGAAAGGCCCAGGCTGGAAAGAATTCCCAAAAATAGCCGGGGGCGGGGCCGATCCCAGCTGTTCCCACCGGGAATGCCAATCCCATAACGCGGGTGGGGACCCCAAAATCCCTCTGGGGACACAAAAATTCCCAAATTCCCATCCCAGGGAAAAGTCGAGGGGATGGGAATCCCAAAATTCCCTCCTTAGGGATAATGGAGGGTTGGGGACACCAAAATCCCTCCTGATGGCCCCAAAAGGGGATGGGGATCCCAAAAATTCCCTCACTGGGGACAGTGGAGGGGATTGGGACCCCAAAAATCCCCCATGGGACACAAAAGGGGGGTTGGGAACCCCAAAATCTTCACTTGGGGGCAATGGGGAGGGGGGTGGAGACCCCAAAATCCTTCCCAGTGTCCCTAAAGAGGGGGTGAAGACCCCAAAATTCCCGCCTTAGGGACAACGGGGAGGGAGGGACCCCAAAATTCCCTTTCTGGGGACATTGGTGGGTCGGGGAACCCCAAAATCCCTCCAGATGTCCCCAAGGGGGGATGGGGACCACAAAATTCCCTCTTGAGGACAAGGGGGAGATTGGATCCCAAAATTCCTTTTCTAGAGACACTGAGAAAGGGAGGACCCCAAAATTCCCTCTTGGGGACAGTGTGGGGGGGTGGAGACCCCAAAATTCCTTTTCTGGGAACGATTTGGGGCTGTAGGGTCCCCAAAATCCCAAAGGTGGGGGTAGGGACCCCAAAATTCCTCTTCTAGGGACACTGAGGGAGTGGGGACCCCAAAATTCCTTCTTGGGGACATTGGGGCTGTAGGGTCCCCAAAATCCCCACGATGTCCCCAAAGGGGGGGGGGGTGACACCGCAGCCCCGCCCCTCCCCCACACCCGGGTCCGGGTCCCTTTAAGGGAGGAGGAGCCTTGGAGAGGGGGAGGGGGGGGGAAAATCCCGGGATTTTTTTTTTTTTTTGGGAAGGAGGGGGGGATGCAGAGGGGTGGGGGGAGGGGACGATGCTCCGCGTCTTCGTCCTGCGGGCCGAAAATGTCCTCACAGGCGACAGCGACATCAGCGACACCTACTGCTCCTCCACATTCCAAGGTGAGGGGGGGGGAAAAAGGAAAAAAAAACGGGATTTGAGGGGATTTTGGAGGATTTTTTTGGGAATTTTGGGGGGCGGGGGAAGGGGTTCGACCACGCCCGGCTCGGTCCTAAAAGCTGGGATGGGGCTGGAAGCGCCTCGGGTCCCTCCTGTCCCCGTTCCAAAGCTCCAGAGGGAAGGAAAAAAACGGGATTTGGGGGAATTTTTGGGGAATTTTAGGGGATTTTGGCGGTCCCTCCTGTCCCCGCTGTCGCCGCCACCCCTTTGGTGTCCCCTCCCCATTCGAGCTCCAGAGAGGGGGGGGAAAAAAAAATCGGGATTTCTGGGAATTTTGGGAGGAATTTGCGGGAATTTTGGCCGGAAAAGTTGGGATGGGGTCCTCGCTGTCGCCGTTGTCGCCGCCCCCCCCCCTTTGGTGGCACTTGGGGACCCCCCTAAAGCCACCCCTCCCCCCTCGCGGTTATTTTGGGATTTTCCGCGCGGGGGGGGGGGGGGGGGAGGGGACGATCCCAAATTTGGGAATAGCGGCAATTGTCCCTTCCCGGGGTCACCGCTGGGGACAGAAGTGGCACTGAGGGGACAAAGTGCAGTGACGTCACGGGTTGATTGGGATTTTTTATTTTTTATTTTATTTTGGATTTTTTTGGGGATTCCTCGGGTGTTCCTCGGATGAGGGAGCGCTCCCGGTTTTCCATGGAATTCTCCCGCTGTGGGTGTGGCATTCCCGCTGCTCTCGCTCAGCCCCAATTCCCAGGTTTTTGGGGATTTGTTGTTCCCGGGATTGCGACATTCCCGAATTCTCGGCATCCCGGGGCTGCGGCATCCTCAGGCCTTGGAGAATCCCGAAATTCCCAGGGATTTATTTCCCATCCCTGGGGTTCCCAGCATTCCCAAATCCCAGTTTTTGGGCATCCTTGTGATTTCCAGCATTCCTGAAATCCCAGAATTTCATTCCCCATCCCTGGGATTTGCAGCATTCCCAAATCTCGGTGCTGGGTCATCCTCAGGTCTTGGAGCATCCCCAAATCCCAGGGATTTATTCCTGATCCCTGAAGTCTCTAAAATTCCCAAATCCCAGTGCCAGGTTATCCCTGGGCTTTCCAGAATTCCTGAATTCCCAAGGATTTAATTCCCCATCCCTGGGAATTGTGAGATCCCAGAATCCCAGGGATTTATTCCCCATCCCTGTCACTCCCAGAATCCCTGGATCTTGGGGATTTATTCTCCATCCTTGGGGTTTCCAACATCCCTGAATCTCAGGGATTTATTCCCAATCTCTGGGGTTCCCAGCATTCCTAAATCCCGGTTTTTGGGCATCCTTGTGATTTCCAGCATTCCTGAAATCCCAGGATTTAATTCCCCATCCCTGGGATTTGCAGCATTCCCAAATCTCGGTGCTGGGTCATCCTCAGGCCTTGGAGCATCCCCAGATCCCAGGGATTCATTTCCTATTCCTGAGACTCTCAGAATTCCTGGATCCCAGGGATTTATTCCCGATCCCTGAGGTTTCCAGCATTCCCAAATTCCAGTGCCAGTTATCCCTGGGGTTTCCAGAATTCCTGAATTTCCCATGTTTTGATTTCCCATCCTTGGGAATTGCAGGATCCCTGAATCCCAGGGATTTATTCCCAGTCCCTGGGGTTCCCAGCATTCCCAAATTCCGTTTTTTTGGCCATCCTTGGGTTTTCCAGCATTCCTGAAATCCCAGAATTTAATTCCCTATCCTTGCGAATTGTGGGATCCCCGAATCCCAGAGATTTATTCCCAATCCCTGGTGTTCCCAGCATTCCCAAATTCCGTTTTTTTGGCCATCCTTGTGATTTCCAGCATTCCTGAAATCACAGAATTTCATTCCCCATCTCTGGGATTTGCAGCATTCCCAAATCTCGGTGCTGGGTCATCCTCAGGCCTTGGAGCATCCCCAGATCCCAGGGATTCATTTCCTATTCCTGGGACTCTCAGAATTCCTGGATCCCAGGGATTTATTCCCCATCCCTGTGGTTCCCAGCATTCCCAAATTCCGTTTTTTTGGCCATCCTTGTGATTTCCAGCATTCCTGAAATCCCAGGATTTCATTCCCCATCCCTGGGAATCGCAGCATCCCTGAATCCCAGGGATTTATTCCCAACTCCCGCCCTTCTCATCTCCCCCCAATCCCAGCTGATCCCGGTTTTTTTCCCAGCCCCTCCAGGGGCGTTCCCGTGCCGGGAAGGGCCGGACCAGGAAAAGGGGGGTGGGGAATGGGATAAGGGAGCGGATCCCGGTCCCGGCTTTCCCGGTCCCGGCTTTCCCGGTCCCGGCCATGCTCCGCTGCCTGCTCCAAAGGGCTTCCCAACTTCCCAACGCGGAAAAGCGGGATAGACAAAGCGATCCCGTGGCCAGCCTGACATTCCGAGGTGAGGGAATCCCGATTTTTTTAAATTTTTTTTTTTTTTTTTTTGGGAAGGGAGAGAGGGTTTGGAATATTTTTGGCTGCTTTGGAAGCAGCTCCCAGCAGAATTTGGGATCTGGGAAGCTCCTAAATCTTTGGAAAATCCTTCTCTTTGCACTTTTTATCCCCCTGTTCCCAAATTCTTTAAATCCACGCTGGGATATCCCTGGGAATTCCATCCCTTTAAATCCTTGCATTCTGGATTGGGATGGAGGTGAATAATCCCACATGCAGCAGGGGTTATCCCATTCCCGAGAGATGGATTTCCTGGGAAAACGGAGGGGTTTGCACTTCCGAAATTCCCGCTGGAGGATGGGGCTGCCTTGGGATTTCCCTGGAGTTTGAAAAAAATGGGGAAAAAAAATTTTCCATTTTAAATAAAAATTAGGGAAAAGCCCGAGCGGCTCCCGATCCAGGTTTTCCATTTGGAATAGGGGTGCTGCTGATCCCATTCCCACCTGGAATTCCTCTGGAGAATGCCGGGAGCTCCATCTTCCACTAAATCCCGAGCCAGGGCAATTCCAGCGCTCCTGAATCCCGGGAAAAAAATCAGGAATGAGATGGGAATAAATCTCTGGATGAGAAAAACCAGCGGGATGAGTTTTCCATATTCCCGGAGCCGGGAAATTCGGCTCTTCCCAATCCCAAATAGGGAAGGAGTCACTGAACGGTGCGAAAAGAGCCGGAAAACCGGGAATATTTGGAATATCCCGGAGTCTCCCGGGATTTGAGTCACCTCCATTGTTTTGGCCTTTTCCTTTTCCTCTTCCCGCGGGGGTCCCTCCCTTGGGATGCGGCGACATTCCAGGAGGGATGGGGGGGGCGTGGCTTTGGGAAGGGGGGGTGGGGATGGATGGAGCATTCCCAGGATTGGGAATGTTGGGTTTGGGGGAATCCCGGGATTCCCATCATGAGGCTTTTGGGGTTTCCTGGGGAAACTGAGGCACAATCCTGAGGTTTGGGAATGGTGGGAATGGAAGGTTTGGGATCTCCCGTGGCTCTTCCCACCCCGAATTCCCAAATCCCTGGAAAGCTTTGGATGCTCCTGGGTAAACTGAGGCACAGCAAGGAGTGGATTCCGTGGGATTTTCCAGCGTTTTTTCCAACCTGGAAGGGTTGGGGATCCAAGTGGGATCCTGGATCCAATCCCAGCCCGGCTTGGGAACAGGGAATGGGGTCTGATCCTCATCCGGGGAATTGTGGGAATTTTTGCAAGTTCAGCCCCACCTGGGATCAGAGAATGGAGCCTAATCCTGGTCCTGGGAATTGTGGGAATTTCAGTTCTAGCTGGGATCCAGGGTTGGGATCCAATCCTGGTCCCGGAATTGTGGGAATTTCTGGAAGCTCAGCCCCACCCTGAATCAGGGATTGGGATCCAGTCCCAGTGTCCTGGGAATTTCTGGAAGTTCAGCCCCACCTGAGATGAGGGAATAGAGCCTAATCCTAGTCCTGGGAATTATGGGAATCCCTGGAAGCTCAGCTCCAGCTGGGAGCAGAGAATGGGATTCAATAATTTTCCTAGGAATTCTTGGAAATTCAGCTCCAGCTGGGAGGAGGGAAAGGGCCCTGATCCTTATTTTGGGAATTGTGGGAATCACTGGAAGCTCAGTCCCAACTGAGATTGGAGTTTCATTCTGGAATCCCAATCCCTGGGAAGATCCCAATCCCTGGGAAGATCCCAATCCCGGTTTTTCTCCTTCCAGGTGTCAAGAAGAGGACAAAGGTCATCAAGAACAATGTGAATCCTGTCTGGAATGAGGTGAGAATTCCCAATTCCTGGATTTATCCCTGTTCCCAGAAAACGGCCTCGAGCCCAGGTGATTCCCTGGGGCTTCCACCCCATGGAAAGTTTGGGATCATTCCCTTTCTGCTCCAGAATTCCTGGAAGAATTCCAACTTCTTCCTCTTCCATCAAGGTTCTATCCAGACTTGGCATGAACTTTACGAGAAATTTCTATGGAATGGGAATTTTTCCAGCACCTTTTCCCATCCTTGTGGTCCCATGGGCCAAAATAAAAAAAAAAAAAAAAAAAAAAAAAGGGAAGTTGGAGGGATAATGGGCCAAGATTAGGGGCTGGATCTGATCTTAGAATTTGCTCCTTCCTGGTATTCCATGGCCAAGGAAAACCTTTTCCCAAGGCAACTTTTCCCGGTGGATTTTCTTGGAAAATCCGACTTTGGGAATTCTGTGATTCTGAGGGGGTTTGGGATTTGGGTTCTCCACTTCCAGGCGCTGATCCTGATTTCTCCCTCCTCTTTTTTCCCAGGGATTTGAGTGGGATCTGAAGGGAGTCCCTCTGGATCCCGATGCCGAGCTCACCGTGGTGGTCAAGGACCATGAAACCATGGGAAGAAACAGGTGGGGAAAAAATCCCAGAGCTGGACACGACCCCTTTTCCCTTTTCCCTTTTCCC